ACAAAGATCAAGGTCAAATATTGGCCTCCTGGTGGATGACCATGGTAATTCAGCAGAACTTCCGGGTTGTACTCTTTTGTCCTGAACATGCTATGGTCTTGATTTTTTGGTGACAGATAGCTTTTCCTGTCAGAAATAAGTGGTGTGAGTTTGTTCCCCCTAACAGCTTGTTCTGGAACTGCAGGGCACTTTCTGGAGAAATCTTTAAAACCCAATAAGTCCAGATAGGAACAACTTATTTTCATCATTTTTGGTGTGTAGGTAGCTGAGTTGTACATAACTAAATGCAAATTATGCAAATGAAGATTTAATTTGCATAATTCATGAGGAAATTCTATAATTACAGTGTTTTATATAATAGTACTTTTATACATGTAATCTATTTAATATGTGGCAGGCGGAAAATCAACAGATACCAATTATGCAAATGATGACCTAATTTGCATAATCAATGTATTAATTCTGTTTCTCCTTATTGGTGAATAATGGGACTTAAATACCTTGTGACATGCGTAAGTTACTTAAAGGTTAACACCACTGTGCATATATTATATTAATGTGGCGGTCATTTGCATAATTAATGAGGACATGTTGAAATGAAGCATGACAAAGAAGAGGAATTTTACACAAAGAATTTTGTCATTTGAATTTAGGAAATTAAACTAGATTATGTTAATTACGACCTTATTTCCGAAGTCAATGAGACAAAACAACATTTACAAAACTCATACATATCATGGAAGGTGATGAGATCTCCGAATTCTTGTTGTTGAAAGTGTTAACTTTTGTTCAAACACGAATTGATTGTTCTCACCCAAAACGTTCGACCGGTCACTCCTATCTTCTTCAATAGACTTGTGAGATTTGTCAAGTGGCTTGCCTGAAGTTTGAAACGTTTGAACAAAGTTTTTACTTTGAACATGTATCTACTAACACACATGCACGTTTGAACTAATGAAAGAGGGGCTACTCGCTTTGTTTTTTGGGCAGGACAACATGGGAAGAAAGCTGAGACACCTGCTGGTTTTTCTTCTCATCATCCTGAAGGAGCCCAGCATGCCAGAAGCTGCCTGCAGATGTAAACCATCATTACGCTGCATTTGCAACAACCTAGGCCTCATCAGTATCCCTCTGAACCTGCCGAAGTCCATCTATGACCTGGACTTGTCATCAAATAAAATTGGAACTGTAGGGCAGGCCATGCTCTTGAAGTATAAGGACTTAATGACACTTAACTTATCTTACAACAAGATAAGAACTATTTGGTCAGGTGCATTTTCAAATAAACCCTGGCTGTGTTTGTTGTACCTTCGCAACAACCAGATAACAATGATTCAGCCTCGTGCATTTGCAAATCTGCCACGGCTAGAAACGTTGTGCCTGGATTACAACAAGATAACAAATATTCATACAGGTACATTTGAAAATCTGCCACAGCTACAAAGGTTGCACCTGTACCACAACCAGCTAACAAAGATTCAGTCAGGTACATTTGTGAATCTACCACGGCTACAATGGTTGGCCCTGTCCCACAACCAGATAACAATGATTCAGCCTGGTACATTTGAAAATCTACCCCTGCTACAAAGGTTGTACCTGTCCGACAACCAGATAACAATGATTCAGAATGGGACATTTGCAAATCTACCATGGCTAGAAAGGTTGTTCCTGGACCGCAACCAGATAATAATGATTCAGCCTGGTTCATTTGTAAATCTACCAGGGCTACAAGTGTTGTACCTGTACTGCAACCAGCTAACAATGATTCAGACTGGTACATTTGAAAATCTGCCAGAGCTAGAAAAGCTGTACCTGTACCACAACCAGCTAACAATGATTGAGTCTCGTGCATTTGCAAATATCCCCAAACTCCGACATTTGGACCTTCGCTCAAACAAGATGTCCTCCATTCCCCCATTCGATGTTCCTACCGTAAAACTTGGCGGGAACCCCTGGCAGTGTGACTGTAGAATGGCTCCCTTCAGGCTAATTCCTACATTTAACGACCAGATAATTTGTGCCCTACCCGCCAAAGTCCAAGGACAGAAGCTCGCAAATGTAGATCCTAAAGAAATGATATGTAAAGAACCACATGTTCATGCCCTGAACATATTCACTTCAACTACAATGTCGAAATCTTCTTCATTTCGCAAAACAGAAACCAACCCAGGTCCCACAGCACATGCTGTAGGTTCCACACTGCCCATACAGACCCAAGCCCCGTTCGCATCATCTGCAGTGTCAGAGTCTTCATTTGGCGACACTGAAAGCCTTAGTCCTGGTCCAAGAGTCAAACCTCGTGGTTCTACCTTCCCTGCATTGCCGTCTGTTACTCAGCATAAAGTCAAAACAGCCGCTACACTGGCTGTCCCGTTTCCCACCACCGGCACTTCCTCTATTCTGTTCACTGCTAACAAACCTGAAACCAACCGTTACAGTTCTCACGAATCTTCTCCCTGTGTTTCCATTCCTACTCTCATCGGCTCTGTCTGTGGTTCAGCGGCCCTCTCTATTGTTGCCGCCGTCCTCATCACAATCTGGTGCAAACGGAACACCAAGAATCCTCCCTCTGGCCCGACTTCTAACATAGCGTTGAGTAACATCAGCACCAAAGCTACTGTACCGACTAGTGGTTCCCTTCATGATCAGACAGGGCATGGCCAGGCTTTGGCGTCCACTCAACCATTGAATATCGAACAGCTATCAAACATTAGAGGGCCGGATTTCTCTCAGAATAATCACTATGAACGCATAAACAGACCACCAAACCCTAACATAACTACACGTACAGGGGTACCCACTACAGGGTCTCTTGCTCCCCATAGAGATGCCCCCCCTCTCCGTGATGATGATGGGCCCACTTATGTGGAGCCAGACGGTGCCCACTATATGACGCCAGAAGACGTCCTGTATGAGATGCCGGCAAACAGTCATTGAGAGAAAACAGTAGGTTTCAATAACCTGCACTACTACTAGCCTTAAAAAAGGAACAAAATCTACCCACTGTCACTGATGTTGCAGGCTACATACTGGTACTGCCCGATACCCTGAAAGGCCATTCTTAAAGTTTGAAAAGTCATTTCAAAGAATGGCATTTTCATGATGATTCACGAAATATTGTGGACAGACCTTTCTTCAAATACCCCTTTGCCTAAAATTTCATGAAAAGCTGCTGACTAACCACTGCCCCTAAAAACTTACTTGGCTGGGGTAACAAACCGACATTGCTTACTGAATTGATTCTATGCTCTTGAAACGTTGAAAAAGGCCTAGCAGAAAACATAATGGTCTGAGACCCCCAGCAGTGATTTAGATGATTGTTTTTCTATAATTAACCACTGTTGCTTGCACCTTAACCAAAAAGAGGACCATATCTCATTGGTACCAGTATTCTGCAACACTTGAATCCCTGGAACGTTGATATAATCGTCCAACGTAGGCCCTTCACATCTAGTAGGCGTGTAATATAATATAATGTAGGAGTGACAAACAAGTACATGTAGGCCTTGAAGTTTTGAATGAATGAATGACTGAATGAATGAATGAATGGTTTACTTGCAGTAAGAAAAACAAGAAGCATTTCACAGTCTGACGACTGAATTACACACTGCTTTACATATACTTAATTACACTAAAAACACCCAGAATTACCAAAAAAAAGAATTACAGAAAAAAAAATTAAAGGTTTTTAGAGGTACATGTAGTAATTTTGATCCACTCCTGTAAAATAACCTATATTTTAGCTGTCTTGTGTGACTTATCATGTGAAGTTTGAAACCGACGTAGGTTCTAAAATATATTAACTAGTACAAGATGTAATATATGCATGTAATGCAGAAAGACAAAAAAGTAGGGCTGGAAGTTTCTAAGGGACGTTTGATCCACTCCTGTAAAATACTCTATATTTTAGCTGTCTTGTGTGATTTTTAAAAATTTATATCATAAATGATTTTATTATTACCATCTTCTGCATGTATTATTGATATAATAATGACATAAAATGTAACTGATTTTTTATTGCTCATTATGGCAGCCTTAAGCTTGCTACTGTAGTTGCTCTACTGGTAAGTACTATCATAATGGTACTGATTTGAGTTGCATATTTTTTGAATATCACACATACAGCAGATCTAATGAACATGGTTACTGTAGCAAATCTCATGTTCTGCAACATTTCCAGTAGCAGTACTGTACAGTACTGTAGGTTTGCTAAAAGAAATTGCCATTTGTAATTGAGATGAATGCACCAATGTAAGATCGTGTACGGACCAAAGTTTTCAGGAGTCCATCTCCACACTTTTAGTACCTATGGTGCATGCCTAGTCTCTAACCATTATAGCTGTAGAACTCAAGACATAATAATGCTTCTAGTGAACAATGAGCCACATAATACTTAATATAATTATCTTCACCTTCGCAGAGGGAAACATATTGTTTTTTCTCTGTTTTTTTCTCTCTTACGTTTCAAAGCCATGGTCAATGACCTGGACCAGAGGCCTGTCATCGTGGTAACTGGGTCTGTAACAGACATCCTGTGGTGTTGGATTATTTAACCCTACCTAGACCGGGCTTTTTTTGGGCTTGG